GAATGATGCTGCCAAATCGATTAATTTGTTCATTTGCTTCTTCGATAAAATCCTGCGACATTTTTCGATTACACGTTAGGACCTGTTCTGTTTAGCTGAGCTTCTTGTACGGTTCATCTCTTTCCTCCTTTTCTTTTCATACAAAAAAAGCGTACTATACGTAAGTAATAATTACTTATTTCAAGTATTTCAAAAATTCATATATATTCAAATCTATACTAAATTCATCACAAATATTAAATTTATTCAAAATATACTTTGTACATTCTAATAAGTTTAATACTTTAATTAAGAGTATTAAATTAAAATAAATTAGATTTGCTCATTACATAAAGTCGTTCTCTTCTTTAATCAATTTTATAATATGCATTGTTAAAAATTTCATGAAATTTAATATACTTTTAAGTTACACAATTTGAATTAATTCATAACATTATATTAAATTTAATGTATTTATAACTGAAAAGTATATTTGTGTACATGTACACGAAAAATGTATTTCTCATGAAAATTCATAAAATTTAATATACACGCTCATTACATTTAAGTAACTACTATAACTTAATTTTCAGTTAAATCATTCATTATTTTTAATTTCGTTCATAACCACGAGCTTCATTTACATGTAAAGGAAACATTTCTAACAGTGTTCTTTAAAAGAAAATAAATTCTTGATTTGAGCACATAACAAGTTTTTCTAAAATTTGTTGTAATAAATATATTTTAAGATTATCAAGAAAATATTCCTATAAAGACAACCATTATTTAAGAAGAAGAAAGTAAATTGAGTAATCACTTTTCTTAGCAATATAGAATATTTTTCTGTGTTAAAGAAAAAAAAAGAGATGAACCTGCAAAAAATTCAACTAAAAAAATTAGCCCTTTGTGATTATCGCTCCTCGCAAAAATTGTAAGTTCACCAAGTATTATTTCGACACCGATACTTTCGACGAGGACGAGTGCTTTTCTGAGAGTGCAATTAGCCTTTCTGTTGTGCGGCTCATAAAGAAACGAGGGGGGAATGACCCGAAAACGCCTGCGAAGGAATGCGATAGAGGAAAGATTATGAAGAAATTTTGACAGCGACTCGTCGGGGAATTCAATTAAATAGAACTCAATCCTGGAAAGATATTTCCCCCGAGTTCACGTTACCGCCAGAAAAGTTCTATGAACGTGGAGATTACTTGCTCGAGAATTTGCGAGATTGAATGGTTGACTCTCGACTGAGGGAAAAACAGACGGGCGAAGTACACGAGAAATGGAGAGACAAAAACCGAGTTGTCTGAAACCGTACATAACTTTTAATCTCTACGAATCCCTTGATTCCGACACTTATTACACTTATCTTCGACTCGAGTCCCGGATAATTTCGGCAATCCCATTACCGCATTGTTGAGAAGAAAACCGTGAGTTCTCGAAGCCGAAATTTGCATATAAATATTTTCTATCAGCTTTGCACATACCACTAAGAAATAATGCACGTAAAATTATGCTACTAATGTGTGTGTGTGTGTGTTTTATATGTGTATGTATATACAGTATTCACGCTTCACTAATATTGGCACTTGGACAAATCGAGAAAATATGAGAAAGTGTGAGATAAGGAGAGGGAGAGAGAGAGAGAGAGAGAGAAACGGAGTTTGACGCTCGTTTGGACCTTTTGAGCATGAATATACGCGTCCGCGAAGCATCGCTCATCCGAACACGGACGGAACACAACTCGATGACATCTAGGATGATTCTGGAGGCAGTATCGAGTGTGTAACGATGACACGCGTTTAGAAATAAGGGCACTGGTCTTTCGCTCGAAGCGTCGCGCACCGACCTCCTATCTGTTGGACAAACATCGTGGACGTTATATCTTACGAAGTGGAGCTTCAATCTAAATTACCAAAGAGGAATAATGCTGTCTACCGAGATTGGCTACTCGAGGAAAGTTTCTCCTCCAACAGAATCAAATGATTCCCCCCTGCTCCCCCGCAATTAACGGGAAGGAGACTATTTCCTAGCTAAGTTTTGATTCTCTTCCGCGGAGCAAACATATACTCTTTCATTTGTGCGAGACACTTCTGTATGAAATGTGTGTTTATACACTCTGTAAACTGCAAACGTATCACGCGATTTTGCTCGCTCTATCGAAACGATCGAGAGAGAATAATGCCTTTTCATTCATTTAAGTTGGTATTCATAGTCCATTCTTATTTTAAGATCGTCTTAAATAGTAGCGTTTTAAGATACTAATAAGCAGAGTTGTCATTAATTCCTCATCTTAAAATTCCATAATTTCTCCCTGATTTTCAATCAAAATTTCATTAAATGATTTTTTGTTCCGATTTGGAAACCATCAAATATTTTATTACGAGTAATTTAAGCAATGTAAATTGTTATTGATATCGTTGACACTTCTCTCGTTTAATTGTTAAACTGCGTAATGTATGCACATTACATTTCTTTCAAGCTAAGAATTTTAATTTTTCAGAAAATTTGGTAAAATCCCCTAACTTTTCTCTAATTTCCTTGACCGTTTTCAACTTCCATGACAAAGTTTTTGAATTTCCATGATATTTCTCTAATTTCCAGTTTTATGACAATCCTGATAAGGTTCTGTGATTGGCTTATGATATTTTAAGATTGTACTAAAGACGGTTTTAGATATAAGAACCGACTATGAATACTGACCTTAGGGAACAGCGATCACTATTAGTAACGTCTTTTCTCGCGAAACGATAACAGAACGATAATTAAGGTGCGAATATTAAACGCTAAGCGCGGCATTAAGAGCACTTACTTTCACAAGAATGCATTTACTTGGGCAACACTGTGTCGTTTCGAGTTTAAGGGCGGCAACGATCGCGAAAGAAACCGGCCTGTTACGTTTAAGTTAAGCCGCGTGAGTTACACATATCGCGATTGATATTACCGTACTTCTTACTATTTGAACATCGTTTCGGTTCAGTTTCTTTGGCACTGTTTTACATTCTTTCTCGGCCGGGTTGTTAAGACGATCGATTGGTCGGTCGACGGAGGACGAGAGTGTTTAATCGAACGTGCTTGCTGAAGCTCACGTAATAACTCATAGCTAACGAAGAACACCGCCTACTGATTTACAACGTAATCGTAGCGAACATTATTTACAAGTAGTACAATTTACAAAGGGCACTGACTGGTATAACGTGGTAACTACAGACCTGAAAAAAAAAACGCTCGATACTCGATCGCGAGTCTTTACCGAGGCATTTTATGCACCAATCGAATTTCTGTATGGTACAGCGTTATTAGAGAGAAGCATTGAAGTCTGAGCTGATAAATATGTTAGTTGTATTCGTCACAAGAATAGAGAGCATAAATAAAAAAATACAAATATCAATATTTTATTATATTTTTTTTATCGTATCTTCTTAATGCAAAGGACTTGAGCAGGAGAATAAAAATATTTATAATCACGAATATAATTATTTAATCGACTCTTTCGTTTTTAAATAAGGCCAATAAAAATTTCAATAACATTCAAATTTACGCTCAAATGTCTGCAATATACGTACATATAAATAATTAGAAATGTTTTATCAGAGCAGTTTACTTGCTCAACGCTGTGCCATACGTTCAATTAGGGCAAAGTTTCCTCTCTTTTTCAAATATAACATTTTCCAACATTTTGCGTAAAGACTCTAACCGAAATATCATTTCTCATACATTACGCGTTCTTAAAAAGAGTTCGCATGGTGCAATGCACATTGTAACATTACATGAGATTATTTATATCTACAATGACTTTCGCAATGCATCGTATTGCACAACTATAAGAGAAATTCTACAATATCGCTGTTTTGTAATAAAAAGTTCATTCAATAACAATGAATTTTTTAACATTTTCATTATATGTATATATATGTATATATATATATATATATATTAATCCATTATAAATACCTAGATGTTATAAAACAAAGAGAAATCGATAAACAACCCGGAATCGTTTAATATTCAAGCAATTGTCTCGTGAACTCAACTAACAACATCAGATAATAATGTAATTATTGCATGTTTCACTGAACAGTATACTATATGTATCAAAAAGAGAGAGAGAGAGAAAGAGAAAGAAACGTAACTTGTTAAACGACATTCTAAACTGTTCTATTGCTGATCGTAAATTGTTTAAATTTAATAACGTCACATCCAATAATTCTATGAGTGTGTGCTCAGGAACATAATACGAGGAAAAAAGATCGCGAACGCGAGTATAAAATTTTTGCGAGGAAAAAATGTAATATGATTAATTCGTCATTAAAATATTCGGCAGATCGTTTTTACTTCTAAAACTTTTCGCAAGAGCATTTTATACACCTGATAAACGTGTCCCTCTTTTCTCTATATCCATGGCTCGACGAATGGCTTCGGGCAAATTATTCGCAGTCGCAAAACAATGTGTTAATGAGCAATAAAAAGACTAGGATTGTGCGGAAAAAGTCGCGAGTTTATCATTTAAAACGTAATGTTAAGTCGTTCAATCATAAAAACTGTCAGGCGTTTCAGCTAACTTTTATAGAGCATGTAAATAAAAAAAAAAATAAAACGTTAAATTTCGAAAGAATACTAATATATATTACAAAAATTTTGGAATTTTTGTTTGTTGTGATACACATCTACATGTAAAATATAACAAATTCATTAAATAATGTATCGGATACGTAATCTATTTGCACAATATTCGTGAGTGAACAATTTAATGATATCTCAAGTATAACAGATTAGGCAAAGAAAATATTAAAAAATTTGGCACCGTGAATTTCCATGTAAAACCAATCAAAAAGATTGATTCGGAAATCCTATTCCAATGTACTCGACATCATCTTTTTCATTTGAATAATATAACAACAATAGAGCAATAATTATGAATAATATTAATAGTTACAATATAATTGTTAATAATAATAATTAAACAGAAGTATTTTTTACATTAATTATTGTAAATACTGTACACAACATATAATATTGTCGTTTAGTAGTAATTATTAATGATGATTGATAATTATTATAAAAACTATACGTTTCGTATTAATTCTTTTCTAAAAACTTTTCTTTTTTACGGAAAAACGCTACGCCAAACGCTTCTTTCTTCATTCCTCATCAATAATTAAAATTTAAAATCATGGAAAAACTTGCACAACGTATTGTATATACCACATCTTTTTATAATTAAAACCGTTATAAAATCAAAGTAATTCGGCCTCTAAAAAATTCACTAGTTTACGTAACTTAAAAAATAGTTAAAATTATATACAATTTTACTTGCTTGAGTTGTGTTAATTTATGCGATCATTAAATTTCTTTTGCTTTTCTTTTCTTTTCCCTTAAGGCTGTTTATCGTCTCGTTTTTTTTTTCTTATCAACCGACCATACCTATCAGATAATCAATACATTATCATAGAACATATCAGCGAAGGCAAAAAAGAACGAAGAAGTAACAAAGAATCTTAAATTCACGAAGTACTATGGTCTCTCTCTCACATATAGGAAGGTAATCCGATTTTCTTTTTTTTTTTCTTTTCAAGCCCTTTCTCAAGTTGCGATGAGCAACGCACGAATCGCGAGCGAGAGATTCGTGCCAGCTCATGGATAAAGAGTATGCGTGTATATGTTATAAGTGTTTTGCGAGCCAGTTTTCTTTCCTCCTTCCGGCGGACAAAAAGAAACCCGGACGTGGCACGCGGTAAGCCTTATTATCTCTTGGACCCTCTTCTCACAATCATATCATTTTTTTTTCTTTTTTTTATTTACGTACTCTTAAAGTGGACGACACACTTGGACGTGCGCACGGTAAGTAACTTATTACAGAGTTTAACTACTTCTTTCCCGTTGCGCCTCTTCTCTCTTCGATTTTCTACAATGTCTTCCTCAGTCATTACAGGACCAGCTTTAAATCTCCGTACGTCCCCGCACAATTTTATGTTCGCTGATCATCAGAATGCCCTTATTTTCATTTTTCTATTCCGAATGGGTATCTATCGCTTGTATGTACTCGATTGTCAACAGCCTTCATGCAAGTATTTAGTATTGATCGAAGTTGATGCGTGAGCCTTACCGTGATGACGAGAGTCGGCGAGATCGTCGCCGTCGTGGAAATTGTCGCGATCGACGACTCTTGCAACGGAGACGTGGGGAAGATTTGCAGGAAGAGTATTTCGCGTACGATGTATATTCATCATTATAAGATGCCTTATGACAAATATTGTACACGAGATCTTGCATCGAGCCATTTCGAGTCACTTGACTTTCCGGTGATAGAACACAGGAACCATATGGACCGTGAAAGATCAGCCTTAGAACATGCCGAGAAAATACAGATTCTACGGCAACGTTGACAGTATCGAGGAAGAGGGGAGGAATAAGAGGCGGTCTTTTCAGTTTATGTCAGTAATGCCGATGATCGATACCCCCGATGTTGTTGCTGCCGATGTTCATGGAGTTACTAATTATACCGTTATTAATGGTATTTGGAATCGACATTCTGCCGACGGCGTTCTCACTGTCGTACTCTAAGATCAGTCGTTTTATATGGCTCAGCTTGTTGTGCAGATAGTCAAATCGTTCCTTCATCTGCTGGTATACTGGATTCTGTTTAGTCTCTTTGTACTCGCGATATATCTGTTCTTTAGTTTCCTGAAACCAGAAAAAATGCCACCGTATGATCTTGTCTATTTGTTCGATAAACGCAATCGGATCATTTATGATAGAAAACTACGATATGTACCTCACTCTCGATCATGTTGCCCAATTTCTTTTGATCTTGCAATAGTGTATACAAATGCGTGAAGCGATTTGCGGTTACGAGTACTTGAGAGTGCAACCTACGATATTCTTCATAGTTCGCGTTGAACTCTTCTTTGTAACGCCTTTTCTGTTCCGGGTTGCTTATTGTTGTATATTCCCTGGATAAATGATTTTACATAAATATTGTATCGATCAACAAATTACATTAAATTAATTCGTAACAATCTATGAAAAGAATATCGTTTTTCGTTGTCATTTGAAACTATTTCCGCAAACTAGTAATAATCGATAACTAATATACTCACGTGCGGTAGTCGACATATTGCCCGGTACTTCCCAGCCTTTCGAATCCATCAGTCGGCAGCGAGATCGCAGTGATACCAATGGCATTATCGGCATAAGTAGGAGCGCTAGAGGTTTCACCGAAGATACCTGCATAACTGGCGGTATTACTTCTATTCCTGAATTCCCTCTCTCTGTTTCTCTCTTCTCTCGCGCCTCGACTCCTATCGCTCCTGTCTCTCCTGTCGGTGTGGTCGATTATGTTGCTCGCAATTTCATTGGCTATAATGACACCGCCGTCGTGTCTATCCCCATTCGGATGATGGTTGCCCCTTTCACTATCATCAGGCGACAACGGTGTCAAGCACAATGATCGATTGGAGTCGTTTGGAACTGCGGTGATAGCGGAGACTTCACTATAGACGTTTCCAGTACCCCGCAGTACATCACTGTTTGCTGTCCTTTCGGCCCGGTAATCGACGCGGTTGCTGCTGCTGCTGCGTTCACGCTGCAATTGCTGCCTCGATTCCCAACCGTCGAAACCGCTACCGCCGTTGTTACTATTACTACCATCACCACTATTGCTGTTACCACAACCACTATTAACGCCGGTGGTACGATCAACGATACGGTCGCCACCAGCGGTTGCACTAACACCACTGTTATTATTACTATAACTGCTACTGCCTGATAGCCTTTCGCCAGCGGGGATGAAAGAGATGGGCTCAGGTCTCTTATAGTGCGATATCCGCGGCTTCTTCGTTGGTAGTCCGTCGTTACCCTGATAGTATCCTGGTCTCTTGTTGCTAACCAAATTGGGCGGAGGTGCCGTGATCGCCGGCGGTGAGCCCGCATGAATGGAATTGGGCGACTGACCACTGCCTAAGAGTGTAAACATGTATAAAAGATGTGTTATTTAAAATAAAGTTTCATATTTATATATGCAAATAATGTGTTGACAGCGACTAGTACACGTACCGCTGGAACCGCCGTCGCTCGAGCCGGGTGGAGTAAGATTTTGAGGTTTCCGCCTCCTTAACATTGTCCTTTCCTGCTCGGTGTAGAAAGGCCAATCCTCTTGCACATCGTTCCAGATATGCCTATACAGGTGATACGTGTTGTCACGCATATAAGCTACTTGCTTTAGAAGCGTCTGCATGACGGGTCGCTCTCGTTCTCTCAAACCCTCTGGAATTTATCGACATATATATTAATATTGTCAACTATTCCGAGAAATTGAAAACATTCAAATGATATTTTACCTTTCTTGATGCGTTCGTAAAGCTCGGGCTTTTTGTAGGGCCTCAAAGCAAGAACATGGATAAGTCTTTCCCTATTGCACAAAAAAAAATTCAAATCACATTAAAATCTTTTTCTAAGAAATATTAATCTTTAATACATTTCCCTATGCTGATTTGTGCATTGAACATCCAATTTAACTAGCTTTCGTCTCATTAATCTATAGAAAATTATAACTCATTAATCTGCAGAAGATTATAGCTATGTTTACTTTCTCTGTCTTTGTTTATCTTTTATCGGAGCATGACTTATTCTCATGCTCTTATACCGAGACACTTACTTAAGTGGCCTGCGCATAATGTCAGAAACTGGTTTTTTCTCCTGATTGTGAACCGCCGATAGATGGTTACTACTATTACTATTACTACTACTATTAGCGATCGGCTTGTTGGTTGAGGCTTTGGGCTGACTATTGCCGGAAGTTGGAATGCTCATCGTAGATTCCCGATGCCTTGCATACGATGACGGAGGAGGTATTGTTCTTCCGGTTCCTTTCACTTTCACCTTGCGTCCGATATCTGGACCGTTCGCCTTAATCACCCTCGTGCTGAAAGGGCAACATAATTTCCATTGAAATATATGAAAATGCAGGATTGGGAAAGTTGCCTTACAAGTTACTTGTAATTTACTTTTTATTATGGAAATTAAGTACAATTAGTTCGGGTATTTTATTTTTTATATTACATTTTCTCATTTGCTTCAATTTTGTATTACTTTTTGTATTCAATTTCTATAATAAACATATAAGGTAATCTAAAAAGTAACTTAGAAATAACTTTTAAAATAACTTCCAAAATGTATGACATCCTAACTGTGAAAATGTATGACATCCTAACGTGTTATTTAATTAAATAATGTTATAAAATTGGAAAAAATTAGAAAAAAAAACGATTAAAAAAAGAAGATAAAAAGCATTTATGTTCTTATTTTGACATATCTAAAAATATTGATATAAAAAAGTTATATTTCTAATATATTTATTTAGAGGAAATATAATATCATGATTTATTTCGTCATGTCATTCGACAAGAATTCATTTCCCCTATATTTATGTACGAAACGGTCTTTGCGCGACGAGCTACACTTTTATTCATACAATTAATACAATTTGCAACATCACTGACATAGGGGTCCGATCGATTGTCTGATTATGCAATTTTCTTTGACGTAAACGGCGCGTAAGCGCACGCCATAATAGAGGCACTGCAACGGTGAAGAGAGGCGGAAAAGGGTTCAGGCGTGACGAAATCGCACTTGTGAGGCGCTCTTAGCCTTGGCCGTGACGACTAAACAAATTAGCTGTGGGCGGTTTAGAAATGGAATAATAGGAGCCCCAGAATAGGCTAAGTCGAACGGACGGACAAGAGTTAGACAAAATTACGGATACTGTCAAACGGAGGGGCAGGAGTTAGACAAAATTACGGATACTGTCTTGTATATTGATGTATTTATGTAGCGAAGAATAAAAGGTGACTGCTCCGAAACTTAATGAATGAGTCTGGTAGTACCGCGACTGACAACATTATTGTGATTGTATGTCGCTAAATATAGCATCACCTGAAGAAGAGGAAACGGTCCACGAAATAGGAAACTTCTTATATAGTCAATGATGCAGAGTCGGACGAAAATGCGAAGTTTTATTATTTATGCTGACAACATATAGAAACTTATATTCGTTAATTTTAACTAATTATATGCGTAATAAATTATTATTGACTATTTTTGTAATACTGAGGAAGGTCTAATTTAAGACCGAAACGTCTATTTTATTGTAATATTTCAAATACAAATAAATTTTCAAGCCATTCTCATCTGGCGTTCGTGGTGTATGCCTTCTTAACTATATTGTTTTATTATTTATTATATATGCGAATCTCTTAAAAATTCATTTGTTTGTAAAAATTTGGATAAACAAACATCCGTATTTTCTGACAACAAGAGTTATAATAATTTTAATAAACGATATTTTTTAAGCGCGCAACATATCGATAAAGATATTTATTGCTATATAAAAGCATCATTTATTCTGTCAATGGATGCGAACGCTCGTCTCTGTGATGTATCTTCTATACGTGTTTCTGAATATATTTAAAAAATCCCTAAATATTTATAGATAACGTAAATCCTAGCCATGTGCGACAACGTGCTATTATTCAAGGTACGTCCGTCAACTAAAAGTACATCCTCGGGCGATAGTCTACAAATTCTCACGATATCGCAGGGACGTATGCGCGCACGAGGCTACCTCGTAAATTCCTTCGTGAATCGCACGAACATCCGTTAGGAGACCGTATCTACGGGCGAAAGTTTGTAAGAGTAAAAGACCACGAAGCAAGGATTATTTACGATTCCGCGGCGCTTCGCGGAGGAAAGTCCTGAAAATGGAAAGAAAGGAAAGCGGTCGCGTCTTTCCAAAAAGAAGAGAGATCCTTCGCCCGGAGGATCGAACGGTCGCCGACGGCTGTATGTCCCACTCCTCAAGGGAGTATCCTTACCATTTGTTCTTGTTATTCTCCTCGACGACCGCCATTCTGTGCCTGGTGGTCTCGTAAACGTCATCGTTTGCCTGTATCCGCATCTTGTACGGTATAGCGCCGAGGCTCTCGAGGTTTCTGCGAGAAAGAAGAGCAAAAAGATAATGAGAAGATAAAAAGAAAAAAATAATAAGAAAATGACAAGAATCAGGATAAGAGGCAATTCTTTAAGAGGCGATTCAACCCGCATCTTTTATATATTAAATTAATGACCAAGAATACACGGAAAGATCGATTTTTTAAGTATCTTTTATAGCTAAATACAGACTGAAAATAAAATTATAAAACTTAAGCGTGATGAGCAATGCTGCAATAAATTTTAATCAATAATAAGATTTTTTTATTCGGACCGACAAGAATTAAACACTAAGTATAAGCAACGTGATGAGCAATGCTGCAATAAATTTTAATCAATAATAAGATTTTTTTATTTGGACCGACAAGAATTAAATACTAAGTATAAGCGTATTCAGGCCTATGACGGTCAAAGCTAGATCTTTTTTGCCTAAATAATTCCCAGTGAATTATCTATATCCTATATATGTACATTGTACATGCATATATATCATATTTTTGTAGTTATTCAAACTGCATGCCGAAATTTTTCTGGATTTTATCTAACGCAATTAAACTACTGCGATAATATCACAAGTTAAATTAAATTGACAATGTGCTAAAAACCTTAAATAAATTTATTGCGAAAAATATTACCTCAGCCGGAACTTGAACCTGGATCTCTTGTATTCCGTACGAGCGTCCTAAGCCATTAGACCACCGAGACCTTAGTAATATCCTTCGCAATAATCAGTATATGTAAGAACAATAATGCTTTCTTGCAGGCAGCGTGTATAACCAATAATAAGATTTAGCTTTGACCGTCATAGGCCTGAATACGTTTATATTTAGTGTTTAATTCTTGTCGGTCCGAATAAAAAAATCTTATTATTGGTTATACACGCTGCCTGCAAAAAAGCGTTATTGTTCTTATATATACTGATTATTGCGAAGAATATTACTAAGGCCTCGGTGGTCTAATGGCTTAGGACGCTCGTACAAGAGATCCGGGTTCAAGTCCCGGCCGAGGTAATATTTTTCGCAATAAATTTATTTAAGGTTTTCAGCACATTGTCAATTTAATTTAACTTGTGATATTATTGCAGTAGTTTCATTGCGTTAGACAAAGTCCGGAAAAATTTCGGCGCGCAGTTTGAATAACTACAAAAATATGATATATATGCATGTACATAGATAATTCACTGGGAATTATTTAGGCAAAAAAAGATCTAGCTTTGACCGTCATAGGCCTGAATACGCTTATACTTAGTGATAAATTTTAATATTCTATAGCAACTAGTTTGAGTTTCCAACAAATTATTTTGATGGTCCAATAAAATTATTTTCAAATCTGTATCTAACAAAATTTTTACTATGTTAGCAAAATTCTTTCAGTATATATAAGATTTAAAAATATATTAAACAGAATTAAGACGCGACTCTTGATTTTACCAAAGTTATTTTACCAAAGTATTATTAATAGGTTATTGCTGGTTATATTACTATTATCGTTATTGTATTTATTGATGATACATTATGTATAATTTATATGTATGCCTTTATACGATACATTATGTCATATATATATACGCGAATTATACGTATACAACATATCGGTTTATTGTTGCTCGGAAAATTAAGTAAAGCAATCAGAAATGAATCAACGAGCAAATCGAAGCTCAATTTATCTCATCGCCATGTTACGTTTTTAACATCAATTCGTCAAATCACCGGATCGTATCGTCGGACGCGGTAAGCACTAGTAGCCAGTATTACTGAATCGGTTCTGCTGACGCAAGCATAACCGTTCACGACGAGTGTAGTCGCCAGTAGTCGACACCTGCTAGCTCACTAACAGCGCTTTAGTGTGTCAAGTTGCCGCGATAAAACCACCTGCTCAAGGATGCTCCAAAGTTTTTACGTCGCTCGATTTAGATTGCGGATTACGTTACGGCGCTTACGACGGAAGATTACTCGAAATTACCGCATCGTGTACCAAGCCCATTCACCGAGACATTATTTCTCTGTAATTATAGCGAATCTGATAGCCGCTGTGACATACATAAAATAAAATTTGTCTACTTATCTATCTGTCTATTATAGCTTTCCTACGAACTCTACAAAATATAACAACATCGAGAAATTAAACAATAAAAAAACTCCAAAACCAGGGAGAGTCAGCGTGGTAATTAATACGCAATCTTAATTCTTTAATCCAAAAAATTGATCCTTTATTCCAACAAATAGTACGTTTCAGTTCACTTTGAAACCATATTCAGTCAAACAAATTTAAAATATCAATCCCTTCATGTCAAGGAAAAATCACCATCAGATTAGCAGATCTGATGTTCTAATCTATTCGAAACATTAAAATTATCTTATAAATATTTTTATTGAACAAGTTTCAATCTTTATTCCAACAAATAGTACGTTTCAGTTCACTTTGGAACCATATTCAGTCAAACAAATTTAAAATATCAATCCCTTCATGTCAAGGAAAAATTACCATCAGATTAGCAGATTTGATGTTCTAATCTATTCGAAACATTAAAATTATCTTATAAATATTTTTATTGAACAAGTTTCAAATTAACAATAAAACTGGTGACTCACCCCAAGACATAGAAGGAATTCGTCTCAACATTGGATCAACTAATTAACATTAATATTCACTAAAAGGTATCAAGTTAAAAAACGCATGTTGATCGTAGCTCGAACGGAACATGACTAGTACACTTAATATAATCGGAAAGACATGTCAGGTCAAAACACGAAAATAAAAAGAATCACGAAAATAAAAAGAGAAAGATAATGTCGATACATAAATAAAAATTTTTGTATAACCGAAAATATAAAACTATTTGATGTCTTTTAGTAATTGTATGTAATTATGGTGTACACCTTCTGTATCTGAGCGTAAATTCAGACTATTTTGTTGCATTAATATATGAAGGCATTCCGATATTAACCGTTTATTCAGAGAACTCTTTATCTAAAATCGCGACATTCTCCCAATCGAAGTCATGATCAAATTCAATACGATGTACTGTGATCACAGATTGGTTGTTACTATTTCAGTTAATATGATTGCGGTGCTCAGCCAATCTAGTTTTTAGTTTTCTTTTCGTCTGTCCGACGTAAGAGGCATCGCAAGAATCGAGAAATTAAACCATCTGGTTAATAAATAATAGACGTAAAGCGATTTATCTCGCGGCTCTCAACTTCGAGTTTCTCTCGTATTCAGATATATTTTCATGTCGATACGCTGAACGTACGAACGTAATGCATAAAATATCTCGCAAGCTCTCGTTATACCATAATAATCAATACGTACTTAAGGCTGGTCTGTTGAGCAAGCTCGAAACCACCCTGGGAACCCTCCATGTCCTGGCTGCTGGAGATGCTGAAGGTGAATCTGGCCACTCCGTTGATGGATGGAATGCTGAGATGCTGAAATCAGAACGCAGAGCGTGCATGTTAGTCGTCGTCCTCTTAATAAGATCGCATTAAATTACAAAACGACGACCTATGTGACGGTGTGTCTGTGCGCGTATTACGTCTCTGCACGGATCTGCTGTATATATCTCTTTTTTTTTCTCTTATAGCTGCAGATATATACTCGCCATATATAATACATGAAGTTCACCTATGTATCTGTTCAGCTATCTATTTAATGTCTGCCTCACTGTTCGTCAATTTCACTTACTTCTCTCTTTATTTCTCACATAAACTAGAAAGTTTTACGAAACAATAATGTTTTCAATGTGTGCTTTTAAATTTAATTCCACTCGAACCGTTTAACTAAATCAAATGGGCATTTTCTCTAATTTCAGCATATATTCAAATCAATAAAGTACATTAATGTCGCAATACTTAAACACTAATATAGATTTAATTCGTGATAGAAACATATATTTTCTGACGTTAAGGAATATATGGATTCTTGGAACTTATTAAAGCTTTTGTTGTTGGTTTTATTTTTTTAATTTTTCAAGTTTAAAATTGTAAAAAATAAAATTGTGAAATACAAAATTACTTCAAATCGTTACTATTTAAAAATTAGAAAAAGTTCCAGGATCACCAGGATCCACGTGTTCCAGTTACGGGTTAAATAAGTAAGACTGGTGCAAACGTCGCTAAATATTAATGTGAGTAGATAGTAAAATGACAAGGGTGCGATTTGTTTACTGCCGCATAAGTGAACCGATGACATTTATGCGTTTTATATTAAATTATATGGACCGAACACCGTCGAAGTGTAATATATTCGCGATAACGTCATTTATATCGAGCGACAGGTCTCGGCTCGTTTGTGCTCCTCTCTCGCTCGCTGCATGTGCATCGGGCACGAAATCGATCCCCGATCGACGTTGCGAAACGAGAACATTGCGGCGATGGGAGCGCGAAGCGTGTCGTCGTTTGCGGAATTAGCGCGTAATTCGCGTAATCGAGGATAGCTGTCCCCGACGACTACCGATTATCATCCGACGTCGAATTAGACCGAGGAGAAGACAATACCGGCGCGCGTCTACAAGTAAACAGATCCTAATCGGATCGTCGCCGGTAGCACGACGGTGGCATTTCGATGACGCCGTCAGATTACAAGGGAATTCGAGCGATCTCGGATCGATGTAGCCGCGCTAAGCGCAAAGTGCAAAAGGGCAGCGAGTATAACTTTCAGGCCAGATTTCGCGACGGTGACGGGAGAGTAAACTCAACTGTGGTTTAATCTCCCCTTTGAAACGCTATTATACTACTGTTCCAAAGAGATAATAAAATATTATTATTTTTATATTATTTTTGTAGACTCAACCAGTAGCTGCATACACGGAAAGGATAATTTTGCTAAAAAAAGCTAGATGTACATAGATCTGAAGATAATTTTATTGGAACACATCAAAATAATTACGTAGGTATCTCAAGCATGAAGAGCAATGCTGTAAAAAGTTTTATTTTACTTCTATTCATTCTAGCAAGCAGTTTTGAACATCCCACATAATTATTTTAACGGTCCAACAAAATTATTTTCAAATTTATATCTAGTTCAATTGTTAGATATTTCAGAAAAATCGTCCTTTAGTACTCATACTGTCATTTAAGATCTATTTATGTTCCATTTGATTCACGTTCTGTTCTGCGGTTAGTTTTTCTTTCTTTTTTTTGATCTATTCTGTGTTTTTACTGTATGATTTATCTTACCTTGTGCCGTAATTATCTTGTTTTTGCAACATATAAATGTAAGTATAGAAAAACGTAGACGCAGTTTTGCTACCGTTTTATTTTTTACAAACACATTTTTTTGTTTATGCTCTCTGTAATTATCCAATTTATCTGTAAATCAATTTTGTATGTACGCAACAAAGTATGGTATTATCTTTATAAAGAGAAACAATTTTGCCATTGCCAACGTTCGATATTTTGTACATTGAGAGCAAAACGCATATTTAAAAAATAATAAAAAAATATATACATACGTTTCTCATATTTATAACAGCATGTACTATATATATGCAATGGCCTTTAAATAATTCTTTCCTTAATAAACGAGTTAATGCAATATTATCTTGATAGTGTAGCGAGTGAAGTAAAAATACGTGTCTTTAAAAGCCTGGGAGTATAATGAGAGTAATATGATGTAGTAAGTTGTACACACAGAAAAATATATACTATATGCAAATAATAATTACTTGTTTCAAGTATTTCAAAAGTTCATAAATATATATATATATATATATATATCTCATGTACCATCCTGAAAGTGCTGCTTCTAAAGCCAACGATATTGATTACCAAAATAATTAGAAGTAAATTTGAGTAAACCTCAACGATCGCCGTAGAATTGGCCGCGATTGACGCAAGCGAGATCTGCGTGACCTTTTTTCGCAAATCAATTTCATCGAACTCGATCAAGCGCAACTGATTGTTTCGCAACCTTTGCGTATACCGCCCCTCCGACTCTCGTTTCTCATTCCTCCCTCGCCCTGCGTTGTTCTACTCTCCTCCCTTTCTCCGCGTATTACGCATACGAAATATCTTTTCCTTTTTTCTTGCATAGCTTTTACGAACGGTGTAACGCAACAATTGCGGGTACACAATGTCATTGTAATCCATAATTTGGATTAGAGAACTTAACAGCGATTGGACATCAGAGTGCTTTCGATTGATCTACCATTTCTTAGCATTTGCGTTAATTGGAACCATATAGCACATATCTTTTCCTTTCTCAAAAATAAACAACATTCTCTGATGTCTAATCTGATAGAATCTCTAGTTGAGGGATTTTATTGGGCTGGAGGTGGCATTATTGAGGCTCCCTTTTAAGGAAGGATTTTTATATTGTTATGCAACAAAACACACAAACTGGATAGACTTTGTCCCCTTTGAAGTCCATTCCCTCAAGTTTTTACATCATACTAAGACTCAACTGAGTTTGAAATCTACGAGAAGAAAAAAGAAGAGAAAGAAGAAGGAGAATCAATCTTCAATTTGGACGTGATGTAAGAATACAAAAGGTGTATATAACATTGCGCATAATAACGACTGAATGAATTTAACTAATTTCTGATTGGTTAGAAAAATTTGAATGGCTGTACATCTGATACTTTTTCATCGCGAGTTTGAAAAACGGCAGTGAAATGACAAGACAGGACGAATCGATAAGGACGTTCTAGCCACGTGGCGAGAAGGCCGACGTGCGTAGGCGAAATGTGGATGATGATAATGATGACGATGACGAGACATGATGCTAGCGTACGTAATACTACTTGAGAAGCAGCGAGAAGAAAGGAAGGCAAGCACTTCTCTCTCTCTCACGGGCATTCGCGTATCGAGGCCATAGGGGCTCTGCGAGCTATCTCCCTCCCTTTTACTCCGATAGGATGGATATACCGCTGTCGTTGTTGCCGTCTCTTAAACGAAAGGTCGAATCGCGCGAGAATGCGATATGAAAGTTTTGTGAAGGGAACAGCGCGACGGGGTGTAACCGGGAGCGCTTATTTAAATTTCACTGCGCGCACGGAAGGACGGCCGGTTTATCTGTCTGGTTTGTTTGCCTGGCTGGACCTGTCTCGTCACAGCTATATCGTCCAAGATGAGATTCGCGCGAGATCCCATTGTGCGAGTCGTAGTACGAGTACCACCATCGGCCAGCCGGTTTGGATTCTCACGCCGTCGTTCAAATACATGGGAGATTGCACGAAGATCTTCTCGATCAAGGGGAGTTACTCGGAGATTATCATCCTTGGATGAACTTCAGCGGGGACAGCGATCCCTCAATCTTCTTCGGAACTCGAGAGAACTTCTTCATTATCATAAACCTGTTCGATTTTTTTAATTACTATAGCAGTTTAAGTTCGTAACATTCGTATCGAAAAGTTTAATGTATGTATATAGCACATATCATGCAATCTTGTTTTTATCGCATATTCCAGTAGTCTGTTTTAATGGAGTTTTAATGGAGAATTCCGTTAGCAAATCATCTACACGGAAAGAAGAATTTTGCTAAACTATCTGAAAATTTAGCTAGATACAGATCTGAAAATAATTTTGTTTGGAACATTAAAATAATTATGTAGGATGCTCAAACTGGTTGCTAGAATGTCAAAACTTGTTACAGTGTTGTTTACCATGCTCGAGATTCCAACGCAATTATTTTGATGGTCCAAATTATTTTCAGATCTGTATATAGATAATGTTTTAAATACTTCAGAGAGCCAAACCATCTTTTCCATATAATTATAAACGGTAACAAGAAAAAAGAACAAGACACGTCATCAACCTTGTATTAAGGAAAACCTGGATTACAAATTAATCAGAGAATCCACGGATCAAAGTTTATCAGGTTTCTTGGTATTATTACGTATAACGTCATTGAGCATTGAGAAACAATCATACTCTATTGATCATTTGTGCCGCGCATATACAAGATGTGACGAATCGAACAATGTGCAAACACCTCTGCTTCTCTCTCTTATTTAAATTCTCTCTCTCTCTCTCTCTCTCTCTCTCTCTCTCTCTTTCTCGATATCGAATTGCATTTTTCGCAATTCAAGCCGATAGAGGAATAATTTCAATCACCGACAATTTATTTCAGTGCGGCTTTCCACGAATGGTACAGATAGTAGTAGATCGCCCACCTACTCACGTTGCCAGGTTGGGATTATTTCGGTTCTTAAGGCCGCAGCTGAACGAGCAACGAACGAACGGTAACTGCCGCTCGTTGCATTTGTAACATTCCTGCGTGTCATGAGTCGCCGCCGACAAGTCATATCTCATCGCCTACCGCCGTGCCGGATTATTATACTTGCGAGCGATAAATCACGAAATTAAGTATAAAGCATAAATGAAAAAATACCAATACATGTTAAGTTCACCAAAGAATCGTAACGTCTGTTAATACATCATCAATCAGGATTTTATCTATTTAATTATCAGAAAATATTTGGAGATTA